ATCAAGTAACTTCCTAAGGATTACAAAGCTAATAAGTGTAGAAACAAGGATATGAACCAGGCTTTCTGCTTCTGTATTCACCTTTTGTCTTTTTTTCAAATCAAAAAGATATGTAAAAGAAAGGATGCTTATGGCAAAAAAAAAAAAAGATATGTAAAGAACTATTTTTAAGGTTTTTTTTTTTTTCTTAGTTTGATGTATTTGAAAGAGGGGACGGAAGGGAGAAAGAAATAGAAAAGGAGAGAGATCACTCTAAATGTCTGCAGTAGCCAGAGCTGCAGCAGGCAAAACCAAGATCCAGGAACTCCATCCAGGCAGGTCTTCCCTGTCGGTGGCAGGGACCCAGGTACTTGAGCCATCATCTGGTATCTTCCAGGGTTCATATCAGCAGGAACTTGGATCGGAAGCGGAACTGGGACTCAAGCACAGGCACTCTGCTCCGATGTACGAGTGTCTCAAATGGTAGCTTAGCCTACTATGCCATAATGCCTGACATTGCACATCTACTTATAATCTACTCTAGCCTTTTAGAAGCAAACTGAATATCTAACAAGTTGAAATTTTTTTTCCCAAATAAGCAAAATGTATAATGGTTTACAGGTACTAAAAATGAGCATTCTGGACACTTTTTGCAAGTTGGGAGATATTTGTTCTATAATGTGTAAAGGAAAAAAATAAAAGCCATAGAAGTACAGCAAAATGAAAAATATACATAAAACATTATTGAAATAAAATATCCCAAAAGGATAGGAGCAATTATAAGTTAGTAACTGTAGTTTCTTTTCTTATTGCTCAAAATTTTAGTAGTATGTGTTTGTTAAATTGAAAAAATATATCATTATCTATAGATTTAAGAAGTAGTGGAGTATAATTGGGTAAGACTGCGATCTCAAAAGAGTTTTTATTACCCCTTATTAGGCATGTGACCTTGGGCACGCTATTGACATTTTGGTTCTATTTACCAGATAATAATAGCAACTAATAAGATAATTATGAGGAGTGAAAATGCAGCGAAAGGACTGGTGGTGTGGCTCAGCCCGTTGAGCCACTGCTGGCAATTTACAACATCCTGTACTGGAGTCCCAGTAACTCTGTGATCTATCTAGCTGCTGATGTGCTTGGGAAAGCAGCAAGGGCGGGTCAACTACCTGGGCCCTGCCACACGTGCGGAAGACCCTGACGGTGTTCCAAGCTCCTCATTTCAGCCTGTATTACCCTGGCTGTTATGGTTCCTTGAGGAGTTAACCAATGGAAGACCTCTCTCATTTGGCGAGAGAACAACCAGATGGAAACTAACACACACACTGTCTCTCTCTCCCTCTCAAATAAATAAACATTTTAAGTGACACATTTTAAAATTAGCTGCTTAATGGTTAATAAAATAAGATCTTACAACAACCCCCACCAATTAAATTGACAGGTGTTAATGGGGAAAAATAACGTAATAGCAGTCAGATAAGGAGTTGGAAGGTCATATTTTTACGGGAACAATCATCATTGATGTATCTATTCGCTTTCAGGATATTGCTGCTCTCAGCTGTTGTTGGAGTTTAGCTGTGGATCCCACCTGTGAACAGTCGGCAGTGAGTCCATCATTTCATCAATGCTGTCTGCCCCTCAGCTGCCTGTGTCGAGACTACCCAACATGAATTGACAAAGTCCTCAGACTGAACTCCCTAAGTATCATCTCTACGATTCCTTAAATGTTCGACACATTGCTTGAATGTTTGAGTTTTCCCTTTTTGTTGAAGTTATTATCCCTTTCAGACTTACTCCTGGCAGCATTTCTGGCCATCAACCTCTTCTCCCCATGAACCAGCACAAGATTTTATTCCCACCTTCCATCGTCATTTTTCAAAGGATTTATTTATTTTTGATGGAAAGACAGATGTTACGGAGAAGGAGAGACAAAGAAAGAGATCTTCCATCTGCTTGCTTACTCCACAAATGGCTGCAACCGCCAGAGCTGAGCTGATCTGAAGCCACAAGCCAAGAGCATTTTCTCTCACATGATACAGGGTCCCAAGGCTTTGGGTCATCCTCTACTGCTTTTCCAGGCCACAAGCAGGGAGCTGGATGAAAACTACAGCAGCCTGAGCTCAAACCAGTGCCCATATGGAATGCTGGCACTTGCAGGCAGAGGATTAGCCAGTTGAGCCATAGTACTGGTCACCACACAATCATTTTTTTAAAATTTATTTATTTTTATTAGAAAGGCAGATTTTCAGCGTTAAGGAGAGACAAAAAGAGACCTTCTATGCACTAGTTCACTCCCGAAATGGCCACAATAACCAGAGCTGAGTCTATATGAAGTTGAGAGCCAGGGGTTTCCTCTGGGTCTCCCATATGGGTACTAGGGGTCAAATCTTTGGGCCATCCTCTATCTACTGCTTTCTCAGGCCATAAATATGTAGCTGGGTGGGAAGTGGAGCAGCTGGGACACAAACTGGAGCCCATATGGAATCCCGGCACTTGGAGGTGGAGGATTAGCCAGTTGAGCCAATGCACCAGGTAACTGCCCCCTCCAGTCATTTCTAACAGGCATATGCTTGCACAATTCGACCTGTTAAAACAGATTTACCACGTAAATCCCAGTGATAATTGATCACTTAAAGAATGAGAAAAGCATATGGTAATATGAAATCCCTCCCCCCTCTTGAAATAATGGATCAAAGATTGACTTAGCAAGTAGTGAATCAATGACCAAAAGGGACAAAGTGCAAAACAGTATTGCCAAAAGGTGATCTTAAGATCATTCTTATTATACATGAATTACTTTGTTATGTAGATACTTGACAATGTCTTCTTGTCATAGTATAATTAGGTGTGGATTTATGTGTCTTATGTTGCCACATGAGGTTAAATAGGATTTTAACCTCTATAAAAAACCTTCAGTGTTTGAGCTTCGAAACAGCTCTGGCTCCAGGACCTGCACTTGAGAAACCTAATAATGGTATTCATGTATTGGCTATGAGAGCAAAACATCAAAATATCAAGCACTCGATACCCAGTGAGCACTTAATGCACCCCTATTTATAGATAAAAAGATTAATACACAACTCCAGGTTTATCTCCAAATAATCCTTCATTAATTATCACACGAGTAAAACTACTGGCTCAGAAAAGTCATGAAATTCTTTATCTTTTCATCTTTTATTCTTTCATTCATTTCTCTACAGGTCATTAAACTAAGAAGGGTGCATCCAGGAAACAAAAGTGATAGCCCAGTATTGATTATTTCTCATGGAAATCAGAGTCTCTAGAGAGGAGGTGTTATTTTTGAAAAGTTAGTAGAGAAAAAAATACTGTCTTAGTTATAAGTGGGAAAAGATGGTGATTTTAATACTTATCTATTTCATGTGCTTGCATGGTGAGGGGAGAGACAGGGAGAGAGGTCTTTCATCTACTGGCTACAAGGGCCAGGAGAGAACTATACTGAAACCAGGATCCAGGGGATTCATCTGGGTCTTCCAGGTGGGCAGTGTTCCAAGGACTTGGAATATCTTCCACTGCTTTTCCCAAGCCAAAAACAGGGAGCTGGTTTGGAAATGAGGCAGCTGGGATCTGAACCAGCTTCTACATATGGGTCCTTACATTGCAGGTGGTGTCTTTACTTGCTACGCCACAATTCTAGACCGAGGTCAACATTTTTTTTTTTTTTTTTTTTTTTTTTAGCTAGGGCTAGCAAATAATGCTTTGTGGAAGAAGTGCTGTTTGCCTGGGATTCAGAGACAGGATTCAGTTTGGACAGCAAGGGAAGCTGGAATTCACTTGTTTCTCCTTCCTGGCTTTCTCCCTTGCTAGCAGTGATGGAGAAGATCAAATGACAGTTTGCATATGGAAGCTCTTTGAAAATCATAACACACTCTGTAACTGAAATAGCAAGCTTATTTTCTTTCTTCTCTGATACCATAAACTTCATGATGGTACTTAATAAAGCCGGCCATTTCAACTTTTAAACTATTTGATGAAAGTGAACTATTGGTTGAATAAATGAATTATGAAAGAGTGAATAAGTTGACAGAATGAAACAAAGGTGTGGAGAAGGAAAGAATGCAGAATGAAGAGCAAGCAAGGACTTCTCTTCGACAGCATGAAGTAGAACTGCGGGTCAGGAATGTGGATGCAGCTGGTTGGAATGGGGCCAATGCACCAATAATTCTCTAGTATGATCTATGGGCCAGCAGTGGTAGTATTGGAAATGCAAAATCCTGGGCTTTGCCCAGAACTGCTGAATCTGGAACTCAGGGTGGGGCTCAGCAATCTGTGTTTTTAACGATCTCTCTAGGTTGTTCTGGGGTATAGTAAAGTTTTTTGAAAATCATGACTTTGAACTAAGATGTGAAGCTGAGAAATTATTCTTCTGTAAATCTAATGCTTATAAAGGTTTTACAATGTGTGATAGACCTAGAAACATATTTCTAGGATAATGAAAGAGGAGGATATACCCCAAAATAATTTGTGACATCAGTATACAAAGGATAGTTGAGATAGTGGAAAACACAGGACTTTTTTTTTTTTTTTTTGCTTTCTTTATTCGAGAAGCAGAGAGAGTATTTTTACATTCAGTTTTACTCTAAATACCCGCAGTGGCTTAGAGTGAGCTTGGCTTAGCTAGGAGCCAGGAATTCAGTCCCTCTCTTCCCTGGGGAAGCACGAATCCAATTGCTTGAGCCATGACTACTGCCTCCCAGGATCGGCATCAGTAGGGGTTAGGAGCCGCAGGCAGTTATCAAGCCCGTGTATTCTGATAGGGACGTAGTGTCTCAGCTTTCCCAACGCACTACCTCCATACAGACAGAAGCAGGTAGATTAAAGAAAAAAGAAAATGTTAATCCAAAGAAGGCGTAGTTGCACACTTTGAGATGGAATGAAAGATGGACTACGCAGGCATTTTCAAAATGTAAACAAAGCTGCTTGTGACGTTTCAGTTCCCAATAAAAGTCATTGTATCTACAAAATACTAGTGGCTAAAGTCCTCGTCTTGAACATGCCTGGAACCCGTATGGGTGTCGATTCTAGTCCTGACAGCTCCTCTTCCCGTCCAGCTCTCTGCTCGTGGCCTGGGAAAGTAGTTGAGGATGGTCTAAGATCTTGGGACACTCACGTGGGATACCTAGAAGAAGCTCCTGGCTCCTGGCTTCACATCGTCTTAGCTCCAGCAGTTGTAGCCATTGGGGAGTGAATCAACAGATAGAAGATCTTCCTCTCTGTCCTCATCTCTGTAAGTCTGACTTTCCAATAAAAATAAATAAATATAGACCCGACTTCACTAATTACTTATCAGTTCTTCTACTTATTATTTCTTTAAGAAGCAGTATTGCTTGTCTTATCAAGCACATATTCTACAACTTTCAGAAATTATAAATAATATTAGAAATGGCAAAAGGAGGTTCTGTGTGGAGAACCCTGCGTCGTGGTCATGTTTAGTAATAAGTTTTCCTTGTGTTTTTGCCCAGGTCCAACAAACTGCTTATGTATTTCTTGATGTCTCCTTGGGGTTCAGTAAAGTTCCTTTTGTACAAACAAACAGATTAATATAGAGAGGAAAAAATTGGAGAATGGTTTAAGAGCCTGGGAGACTGGAAGAAGAAGCCTCACTAACTTTTTAAAATAAATTCTATAGGGGCCCGGTGTGGTAGCCTATTGGCAAAAGTCCTCACCTTGCATGCATCGGAATTCCATATGGGTGCTGGTTCATATCCTGGCTGCTCCACTTCCCTTCCAGCTCCCTGCTTGTGGCCTAGGAAGGCAGTAGAGAACGGCTCAAGGCCTTGAGTCTCCTATGCGGGAGACCTGGAGGAAGCTGTTAGCTCCTGGCTTCGGATTGGCTCAACTGCGGCCTCTGGCCATACGGCCACTTAGAAAGTGAACCATTCCATCTTTCTCTCTGTCTCTCCTTTTCTCTGTAAATCTGAATTTCCAATAAAAAATACATAAAGCTTTCAAAAATCCTATAGGGTAGAATAGAGAAGAAGAGAAATAATGTTCACCTTGCAGCTTTGCAATTTTGTTTCATTTGTAATTGTAACACTAGTTAACCACTGCATTCCACTCACCTCTCTTGGATTATGTGGTTGGTGGGTCGGTAACATTCTTTTTTCCTTTCATTTCCACATTCCTTTGAAGTCTTCCGTGTTGAGTTAGTTTTGGATTCTCCCTGAAGGATTTCAATGATTTGTCTCTTCCTTTCTCTTCTCTATTATTAGGTCTGTTTCACTACACAATAAATTTTGTGCTGCAACAAGAGCTGTGAAACTGTGAAAATCGGGCAAATACTGCCCACTGCTTGTTTTTTTTTTTTTTTAATGACCAGGAAGTGGAGAATACACGCATTTTTTAAGTGGTTGAAAAAGATCAAAAGAAGAATAACATTTTATGACATTGAAAATGGTGTGAAATCCAAATTTTGGTGCCCTGACAGTGTCACGTATATTTTATTGAAACAAATCCTGTATATTTTATTTGCTTATACAGTGTCTATAGCTACTTCTGTGCTACAACAGCAGGGTCAAATCATTGGAATAAGGAACATACAATCTAGAGTGATTGAAATATTTCCTAACTGGCCCTTTACAGAAGAAGTTCGCTGATCTTCATGCCATATACTTTGTGAACTCCAGCATGCATATGAATCTTGCCTCTCAAATTTGCTTGAAAACTACTTGAAGCTGGGAACATTGTCATATACGTCTTTTGTCTCCCTGGCACCTGACTCCATCTAGGACAGTTATGAATTATTTCTTTAGCAAATTTTGACATGTCAAGTACAGGATTGGAAGAAATGAATCTGACTACATAGTGCAGAATGGATTAGAAAGAAGAATGGTAATAGCTGGTGTGCATTAATTTTGTCTTAAAGGCAAATGCTAGCCTATTTTGAGGCTGTGATACGATGTGGCCTGGTTAAGTGCACTGGTATAGAGTAGGGTGACAGATGCAAAGAACGAGGACAATGACCTCCCAGTTAGATGGCAGGAGGCAGGAGGGAGAAGATAGGAGGAGGTTTATTCTGGCAGACAAAACGTAATATATAAGAGTTTAGCTTTATATGATTCCAAGGCAGTGGGTAGTAAATCCCTAGGGACACTGAGGTAAAGGGAGGACCCCATGGCATCTGAATGCTCTAGAACAAGCAGTAAAGCCTCTACTGACTGGCGAGTCAGCTGCCTGGACTGTGGTCTGCATATGACTAGGAAACAGATAATAATAATAAAGCTGGGATTCAGAGGAAGAGACCAGAGAATCAGATAAATCATGGCAGTTAAGCAAGTTTCAATGTGTCTCTCGGGCATAAGGATGTGAGGATCAAACTCGGAGCTGAGCTAGTGCCGAGATGCTTAAATGTCAAATCCTACAGAATTTCAGTGGAGGCTTAGTTCTTTCTTCCTAAAATCAGATAATAGGTTCTAGATAATAGGGAAGGGGTATCTACACCACAAATACGACAGCCCCCTAAATGTGACAGCATGCCAAAATGATTGGACAAAAATGATAGGGCAATTGCTGTAAATGTGGTAAATTGAGTACCTGTGTGTTCTATCAGAAGGCAGGACCTCTGATGGAGCATCCTCATGGAAACGAAGAGAAAATGTTAATTATGAGAGGTGTTTAAAGAAGAAATTGACTTGCCCCATGCTTTCAAGAGACCAGGAGAAGGGACTGGATGAGAAGGAGAAGGCGGTACAAAGCCACAGCCAGCGCCCTATTTCTGTCCATGCGTGTGTGCAGAAGGCTCTGGGCTCTGAACACCTGTGCCAACTGCGTGCGGCTTGGTGTGGTTAGCAAGCATGTTCACACGCACAGCTGCCAGCAGTGTCGTTAGCCTGGGATGGTCCATAAAGGCATAAACACCCCAGTTTTTTTTTCTTTGCCCCTCAGTCGTACCTCCTCCAAACTGCTTCTGCATCTGTGCTGCGCGATGCGGTAATCGCTACCTGCGTGAGGCTTTTCACGCTGTTGTATGTAACCAGTGTGATGGTGGAGTGAATTTTTACATTTTATTTGACTTTAATCGACCCAAAATTTCTAAATGGAAGTCACTTCGGTTTTTAGAAAACTTTTAAACATGTTTGGGGAAAACTTGGCTGTGTAAATGTAAATTTTTTAGTTGCAATTTTATGAACTATAAATACAAACTAATAAAAAATTGCGTGTCCACATAAGTTGTAGCACAAGCACAAAGCATACACCTGATGTGGATGGCTGAGACGTTGTTATGAAGCTTGCAAGTGATTTCTACATTCACTGTACGTCGAATTGTGAGATACTGGATTTAAGGAGTTAAATACAGCCTTAAAATTAGTTTGGTCTGTTCCTCCTAACCATTTTAAGTGTGACTACTGAAGATTTAGTGCTGTCGGTTAGGCAGACTTCCATCCAGCCTTGGGACAGCCCTGTCTTGCACGGTCTCCCCGAGTTCCTGTTGCTCTCTGGTACCTGGTGTGATAGCACGTTCTTGATTGGCTCCTGTTCCTTCTCCATTAAGTTTCCTGTGATCACCTCCATGATTGTATTAGAATCCTTTTCTCGGGTGTGGTTTCTGCAGAACTCAAACCAGAAAAATAAGAGTAAGAACAGGAAAGAGTTTTAGAAATCAACTATTCTAGCTCCTTAAGTTTATAGATTAAAAAAAAAACAGATTCAAAGAGTTTTAAGGACTTAAAAGATGTGACTCAACTGGTTAGTGTGAATTCCGAATTGAGTTTCAGATCCCGAGATTACAAATCCATTCATTTTCTCACTGCACTAAAAATTACTGGCAGTTGTTGGGAAAGGAAGCTCACTAGATCAGTGCGGCCTTGGAGACACTTGGGACGCAATCCTTACCAGCAACTTTGTGCCTGTTCCTGTCCCTATCCCGACTTTACACCAAGACAGTAACCGTCCTCACTCCTCTTATCAAGGGTTGGAGCAGAGAAGCAGAGGGGACTCACAAAACCTGCTTAACAGGCGCCATGCTAACAGGGTGATGCCCTTTCTAGCTCTAGCAGACATGTAGCTGCGACACTTTCTCTTGCAGACACTTGGGTGGGGAGCTGTATTTCCTCCCCTGGGCCGCCCTGACTGAAACTCCTTTGATGTGGTGGCATCTCCCAGGGCAGCAACACCCCCTCCGCCCAGGCTCTCTGGTGGTGTGTTCCGCCCTCAAGGTCCCCAGGTTCGCTTTGAGGTCCTTTGGGGAAGAAGTTGAAATTTACTCTGATGTGACCTTGCTGCTCTGGGATTCAGATGCCTTTTTCCCCCGCTGTCAGGAGAAAGCACCGTTAGCTCCCAGGGCAGCAACGCACCCTCCCACCCTGCTTCATTGGCATGTTCCTTTCCCGAGGTAGGAAAGTGCTCAGGAGTCCTGTCTCCCACCCCATGTCAGGCAGAGATCCTAGTTAAGTCTGTCTGCCCAGGTTTGGGCAAAGAGGTAGAGTGTCTCTCCCTCCCTCCTGGGAATTGGACTTGAGTGCAGTTCTCTTTAAAGCTATGCTGTTCACACACTCCTCTTTCATCTCCCAAACTTGACACTTGTATCTCTTTGTGATGGGTGAGGGGGTCCAGGACATCTCTCATCAGGATGCCGCACATTTCCTTTGTACATTTCCATACGGCTGATCATCTGCTTTGTCACGTGGCGCTACTCCAAGGAGGGACGCTCCGGTGAAGCTACCAACATCATCATATTTTGACAGAGCTGATCTGGAAACAGAATGAAGCAGATACAGTTGATGTGGAGTTTTTGTAACTGGAGCTCAGTGTGCAGGTAAATAGTAGAAAAATATATAAATTTAGTTTCAGAGATTAAAATTATTTTTCAAACAACGTAGGTAGGTCTTTATATATTTGAAAAGATCCTGGATGAAACTACAGAGCAAAAAAAAAAAAAAAGTAGCATGCTACTGTGGCGCTTTGTTTTCTTGTTGCTTGTTGCAGTGGTGTGTTTTTAATGAAATGAAGAAGTATTGGATGTCTTGAGAGCAGCGTGATTTCCTTTGATAACTGCTAAGACACCAGAGGTTTCAATTGTTTTTGATCCTCTTTGA